TAATTGTATAATAAATAAAAAGAAAACAAATAGATAGAATGCAAAAAGATTAGAGAAGCAAGCGTTATTTTTTTTAAAGAAAAGCAAGCAGTTAGTAAATAAATAGAGTGCAAGTCTAAAAGGGGCCAGGTTTTTTTAATATAAAGAATAGAATTAGAATAGAGAATGCTAGAGTTAGAGGGTCAAATAAAGATGGAAGAGATGTGTTTTTAGCCAATTCTTGAAGATGGCTAAGGACTGAGTTGGGCACATCATTCCACAAGGAGGGAACATTTAATTTAAAAGTCAGAGAAAGTGATTTTGTGCTTCTTTGGGATGGCACAATAAAGCGCTGTTCAATTGCAGAACGCAAGCTTCTAGAGGGCACATACAGTATGTCTGAAGTAATGAATTTAGGTAAAGGGGTGCAGAGCCAGTGGTGGTTTTGTAGGCAAACATTAATGCCTTGAATTTTATGCGAGCAGCTATTGGTAGCCAGTGCAAACTGATAAGCAGAGGTGTGACGTGCGTTCTTTTCAGCTCGTTAAAAATGAATCTGGATTAATTCTATTAATTAGTTCTGGATTAATTGTAAAGGTTTGATAGAAGTGGCTGGAAGACCTGCCAAGAGAGCATTGCAATAGTCTAGCCTGGACAGAACAAGAGCTTGAACAAGGAGTTGTGAAGCATGTTCCGAAAAAAAGGGCCTGATATCCTTGATGTTGAATAAAGCAGATCTGCAGAAGAAAGTCAGCTGATCATCAATCATAACTCCAAGGTTTCTGGCTGTTTTTGAAGGAGTTATGGTCGCACTCGCTGGATCCATGAGTATGGTCGGTTCGTTCTGTCACGGCAGAGAAGAGTCAGGATCCAAGTGCGAGTGCAAAAGGTAAGATTTATTTGTAATCACAAACAACGGAGACAATAAGGATAATCCTCGGGTCCAGGTCTGAATCAGAGCTCCACGGAGGTATCCCTTCAACCACTGCGTTTGACCAAACCAAGGAGAAGGCTGAAGATCCGTACCCTGACTGAGCGAGAACTGGAAACAGAGACTGACAAGGAGACAGGAACATGAGGATAACGAACCGACAAACACACATTGAACAGAGTGCCCTATATAGGACTCGTTAACGAGTTGCAGCTGGCGCGCTCTGATTGAGCGCCAGCTGCAAACACTAATGAATGACGTACGCACATACAACCACATGACAAGACACAGAAAGACCGTCCGGACCCATGAACCGTGACAGAAACGATAGGTTTGATGGAACCACAAGCAGTTCTGTCTTGGCAAGGTTGAGTTGAAGGTGATGGTCCTACATCCAGCAAGAAATGTCTGTTAGACAAGCTGAGATGTGAGCAGCTATCGTTGGATCATCAGGATGGAATGAGAGGTAGAGTTGAGTGTCATCAGCAGTGATATGAAAAGCCATGTTTCTGAATGACAGAACCTAGTGATGTCATGCAGACAGAGAAGAGAAGTGGTCCAAGAACTGAGCCCTGAGGCACCCCAGTAGTTAGATGTTGTGACTTGGACACCTCACCTCTCCAAGATATCTTGAAGGACCTATCTGAGAGATAAGACTCAAACCACTGGAGTGTTTGGAGAATGTCAACTGGATGATGTTGGTTTTTATGTGTTTTAAACACTTTTACACTCAAAAAAACGTTCCATGGCACTACATTGGTGCCACGATAACACTTGAATTTTTTTATTTTATTATTGTATAATTTTATAATATTAACCAACTTTATTTCAAATAATAGCTCACTTCCCAGTAATAATATCATTGATTTATTTATGTGGGAATGACACTTATTTTTAATGTCAAAGATGAGTTATTTTCTCCAAGTGCTCCATAATATTATTGATTTAAACCCGAAGAAATCTACTCCGTTAAATTGTCGTATTGCATTTGCTTCAGTTTCCAGTGAAGTCATTATGTTTCCTTCATGGAAGATTTGTGCCTTGTTTCCTTTTTGAATGAACACTGAAACCAGAAATATATCAGGTATCAAAATTATGATCATAATGCATTATAGAATGTGGCTTTTTATTCCAGCAGAAGTGAAGGCCCGTGTTGTGAGTGACTGAAGTCATGGCTTACTGGATCCAGCTTCGTTGGAGAATCTGGTTGTTGGTTCCACTGGCCCTGGATCATCTCGCACTTGCTGAAGATCCAAAGCCCACCAGATGGCCTCTTTACCCTCAGAAGCCTGTGGTTCTGGTCTGGAACGCCCCAACAGAAGACTGCAGTCCTCGGCACAATGTCCACTTCCAGCTCGATCAATTTCAGATCGTGGCCTCTCCGAATGAAGGCTTCACCAAGCAGAACCTCACCATATTCTACAAACACTGCCTGGGCCTGTATCCATACTTTGAGGCCGGTGTGGCCGTGAATGGTGGACTACCGCAGATCTCCAGCCTCACGCACCACCTAGAGAAGATGCCGGAGGGGATCGCGAAGTACATTCGCAACCCGTCGGTGCGAGGCCTGGCCGTGATCGACTGGGAAGAATGGCGTCCGATTTGGATACGGAATTGGGATGCCAAAGACATTTACAAGAACCAGTTGCAGCGCTTAGTGGCCCAGAGAAACCCGAGCTGGACTTCAACCCAGATAAACAAAGTAGCCCAGCAGGAGTTCGAGATGTCCAGCCGTAAATTCATGCTAGAGACGTTACGGCTGGCCAAAAGCTTGCGTCCCAACCAGCTTTGGGGCTTCTACCTCTTTCCTGACTGCTACAACCACGACTACCACAACAGTCTGGAGAACTACACGGGACGCTGCCCGGATGCGGAGGTGGCCAGGAACGACCAGCTGAAATGGCTGTGGACTGAAAGCACGGCCCTGTTTCCATCCGTATATATGAGCTCTGGGTTGCGTTCGACATCCTCCGGTCGCCAGTTTGTCCGAAACCGGGTGAAGGAGGGAATGAGATTGGCATCGGTGGGAGAGGGACTGGCACGTCCTGTTTTTGTCTACAGCCGCCCTACTTATGCCAATGAGCTGGAACTGCTGACAGAGGTGAGTTTGTAGAAATGTGCTTGATTTGCAGTGACAAAACCCAACATTTCAGCTTATTGGCTCTTTGCTATTACTATGTGTTGGATGGAATTGTATTTTTTAATGTTTGTAGCTTTTAAAATACATTAAATTACTCTTTAAAGAGCTTTATGCTAAGGCCTTTTACAATTATTGTTAATTGAAAACATATAGATATTATTACATTTAAAATATTTACATTTAGTATCTAAATTTATTTAAATGTAGACAGTTTGTTCTAAAGGTCCACTGATGCTCAAAGATTTGTAAAAGTGTATGGGAACAACATTTTACCACAGTTTTGGATCATTTCTGTGAAAGTACATTTAAAGCTATCCAAAGACACAGATTCTCCATAGATTTACAGCAAAAGCTTGTCTGAGTGTTGTGGATGGCAACGGTTGCTAGGGTAGCAGAGCCTTGTAAAATTTGTAAGGCAGGGCTTAGCAAATAGGGTGACCGTGATTTCACCAAGTACAACATTGTTGATCCTGGAACAACATTCCAATTAACCAATCAGAATTGAGAGATAACTTTTCAGGAAATATCTGTTTTAGGCTTACGATCAGGGTTATGTGCTTCTACACCCTTGTTAATCAGCTATCATGTCACACTGATTTTAGGAATAAATCATGGGTAGGGTTAGGTTTAGGGGTAGGGATTGGATTTAGTCTATATTTTTAGACAGTAATGTTGATCCAGGATCAACAAAAGATGTTGATCCAGGAACATGTTTTACTTGGCAAAATCACGGCAACCTAGCAAATAGACAATCAATCAATTATGTAAATCGCTCCATATGACCCGCAGCTAAACTGACATTTAACAGAATGTGCGGAAATTAAGGTTGACCTTAAAGGATGAAATATTTCATTCAACTGCCAGTGACTCTCCAGTCTGTTTGTTCAGATAAGTCTTCTATTGTGGATAATACATGCATAACTGTGTTTAATGCCCAGGAAAAGAAAAGAAAAACATCTTTAAAACAAGATATATTCATGAAGATTTTAAGGTGATATGATTCATCCAGAAATGTGATTCTGCGGTGCGTTCATAACATTATTCAACCATCCTGACAGGCCCTGCAATTTTAATGAAGATTAAAGCGAGTGTATTTTGTATGGTCTTTGTGTGGTTTATCAGAAAACTTTTCCTGCATAACCATCATCTCTGCTCTTTATCTCTGTTTGTGTGTGCAGGAGAACAGGAAGGGTGATTTCACCACACCAGCTGATTTCCTACTTTATTTCCACTGTTTTAAGTTGCTGTTACAAAATTGTCCACATTCAATATTTGTGACCTTAACACATAGCTTTCAAAATGAGCTAAATTAACTCTTATATGTAAAAAAAAAAAAATCAAGAACCAATAACTGATTCCATTATTTGTGTCTGCGCAGATGGATTTGGAGTCCACCATCGGAGAAAGTGTGGCTCTGGGTGCAGCAGGTATCGTTCTCTGGGGTGATGCTGCTTATGCCAGCAGCAATGTAAGCACTCACACACTACATTATATCTGATTTCAATCAGAAATAGTGCTTGTTAAGAGGTTTCTATTGATGCTAGTTCTAATAATAATTATTATTTTGCTAATGGTGCTTCTATTGATCATGTTAACCCTATAAAGCCTACTGTATCATATGTGACCCTGGACCACAAAACCAGTCTTAAGTGTCAATTTTTCGTAATTGAGATTTATACATCAGCTGAATAAATAAGCTTTCCATTGAAGTATGGTTTGTTATGATAGGACAATATTTGGTTGAGATACAACTATTTTAATATCTGGAATCTGAGGGTGCAAAAAAAATCTAAATATTGAGAAAATCGCCTTTAAAGTTGTCCAAATGAAGTTCTTAGCAATGCATATTACTAATCAAAAATTATATATTTACGGTAGGAAATGTACAAAATATTTTAATGGAACATGATCTTTACTTAATATCCTAATGATTTTTGTCATAAAAGAAAAATCTATAATTTTGACCCATACAATGTATTTTTGGCTATTGCTACAAATATACCCCAGCGACATAAGACTGCTTTTGTGCTCCAGGGTCACATATGATACAGTATCATATTTGATGCACAAATTTCAAAGGCCTATAAATGATCAGCATGATCAAAACTTTGCTGAATAACCTGTTATACACAATCTACTACATTCCCTCTGTCGTCTAATTTGATAGTTCATATTTTTTGTAGCAAGTTTTTAGTTTAATTGTTAAAAACGTCCACCTTCAGCTCATGGTTCATGTGTCTGTTTGCTGTGAAATCTTTACTGATATTTATAGAGTAAATGTAAGAATGACTTTTATCTTGTTAGTAATATTTCAAGATGAACATTTACTGGACTGAAGCAACTTAGCTTTACTTGATTATCCATACATCATTTTCTATAAAAATCATGTTAAAATGGAAGTATCAAATATGATCATCAGGCATTTGATGAAAGTTTATTTGTTCATCTCTCAATCATTGTATTGCACTGCAATATGTTTTAAAACCACAGAGCTTTGATCATAAAACTAAAGCATTTAAATATCATCTTACTAAGACATATTTTTGGGAGATATTAAGTGACCGCTTATATTTACATGCATTATGTAAGTATCTGCTATACTGTTATAACGATCACAACAATTAACTTTACAATCTATCAAAACGTCATCTTAGTTTTGACCCTATAAATTACGTCTGAAAAAAAAAGTTGTTCCATTTATAACAACAATGTCAGGCATTTTAAAAACACCTGAACACCTTAGCAACTACATAGTAACATACTAAAGTGCCTACAACACTCTAGCAACTGCATAGTAACACACTAAAATGCCTGCAATACGTTAGCAATGCCCTGGAAACCACCCACAACACCCTAGTAACTTCATCACAACACACTAAAATGTCTACAACACCCTAGCAACTGCATAGCAACACACTAAAGTGCCTAAAACACCCTAGCAACTGCATAGTAACACACTAAAATGCCTGCAATACGTTAGCAATGGCCTGGAAACCACCTAAAACACCCTAGCAACTACATAGCAACACAATAAAGTGCTTACAACACCCTAGCAACAGCCCGCCATCCACTTCCAATTTCTTGAAAAAATGTAAAACTCTAGTTTTTACCTGACGTAATTTCCTTCTCTTTATCTGTTTCATCATTCAGGACACTTGTTCCAGTTTAAACCAGTACTTGCGGGGTCCACTGGGCCTTTACCTCCTCAACGTTTCCACGGCAGCTGAGCATTGCAGTCGCTTCCTGTGCAGCTCCCACGGCCGATGTCTGCGCAGACATCCGGACACGGACACGTATCTATATCTTGACCCACAGACACACACGATAGTAGGCCAGGGGAGCGAACTGCGTGTGAAGGGAGATCTGAGCGTGGAAGAGCAGCAGCGGATGAGCGAAGACTTCCAGTGCCAGTGTTTTAGTGGGTATCAGGGTGAGAGATGTGACCTCGAGGACCCTCTTCAGCAGCGAGGAGATGGACATGCACTGCATTTACTGACCTGAGCACACGCCATAGACACTTTAACTCATTTTCTGGCTTATGAAATGTTTGGCTGGTCAGTGCGCTCCAAATGCTTTTGTGAAAAGGTCCTTCACCTTAAAATTGAAATTTATATGTATAAACACAGGAAACTCAGAGTTCTTTGGAGTTTAAATAAGCACTTTTGTTTGTTGTCACACATTATACTCTCACAACATTTGAGCCAGATGTAGGATATTGTGCAACAGGAAAATCAAATGAAAATTTATGACTAACGGACGAGTGGATTCATTCAGAAGTCACTGTTAAAACAATTTGAACCGGTGGACATTTGGTTTTAAGTGGCTTTGGTTTGAGTGTAGATTTGAGATGACACTATAAAGATGTTGGTTATTGTAGTAGAAAAATTCATTAGTATTTTTGTGCTTATGAAACATTACATAGTGCATGTGTTTTCTTAGAACTGCTGTGTAGTCACAGTGAGAGATGGGTTTGGGGCCTAAGCTTAAGATGTATGGGTGACAAGAGGTCCACAGGGCCATATTGAGCTGAGAGGAGGACAACTGGCAGACTCAAAGGCATCTGCCCATGACCTAGGGGGTCATCTAGGCCCTAAATATAGGGGGAACCAGTCTTTAGAAGAATGATATAGTATTGCGTTTTTGACTTTCTTTCCATGTGTGGAAAAGTACAGCTGTTAAGAGTTTGTAACCTTGACTTGGAAAAGAGGTATAAAGCGCAGGATTGCCCTCCCTTCCTTGTCACACTCTGCAGCGACTTGTATCCTGTACGATGTTTGACCTTCTTTGCAAAGAATAAAACCTTTAAAAGACACAGAGTGAGTTTGTCTCTTATGCTGATGAGAGTTATTTAATTTTGCCCCAACATTATCTAACACTACAATGTAGGCTGCAAGCGTCAAATGTAGTTAAGCAAATACACATGTATGATTTGAATAGGTGGAACTAGATGAATATCAATGTTTTTATCAGCTGTTTGAACTCCCATTCTGACGGCACCCATTCACTGCAGAGGATCCACTGGTGAGCAAGTGATGAAATGCTAAATTTCTCCAAGTCTGTTCTGGTGAAGAAACAAACTCATCTACTTCTTGGATGGCCTGAGGGAGAGTACATCTTCAGCAAATTTTCATTTTTAGGTGAACTATTTCTTTAAGATGAGACTAGTAGTGCTGGAAATGTGGATGCATGTCCTGCAATGTCACTTATGCTGGCTGATCTGAGTTTGAATCTGGCTCATGTGTCATTTCCTGATCACAACCCTCATTTCCCATTCTTTCCTGTTCTATAAAGGCAAAACCCCCTAAAAAATAAAAAAGAAGATGCCACTAAAGAACTGACCATTATTTATACCCTGTTATTTAAAAGTATTTTTGTAACTTTGGACTATATCTTCTTTATTTTGACTTGTTTCTTGGACTAATTGAACTGTTGCCAAATCAGCATATATTTTTATGCACATTTTTTGCTTCGTTCAGCGTCTCCGTCAGTGTTGTAACAGTGATTGTTACGGTTATGAGAGTTATGTGACAGAGCATATGTGAAAAAGGCACTGGACTGTGAGAGAAGCATTTGCATTATGTCTTTAAATTGCCAACACAATTGTAACATTATTGTGAATTAGATTTTCTGAAATTGTGCTGCACAAAGAAATCGTTTTCTATTTGATCAAAATGATTTCTGTGTTTGATTCATTTTTAAAAGTGTTCATTTCTTTTCATATTTGTTGTCTCATTAATTTTGTCCAGTAACCATTCGGTGTTTCTCAGTTAGTGGAAGTAATAAGAACTAACTAAATGGAGGAAACATATGAGACTACAAACCTTGGATCTGCGCAGCAAAAGGACCAGCCCAAATTACAGGGTTTACAAGCCAAGAAGTTATATTTGTTGTTGCTTTGAACTCTGTGAGCTTTTACTCCAAATAGAATCAGAAGCAATGTGAAACATGGTGTGTTTGTTAATCTTTAATCACTCTATAAGTGACTTAAGTTGCTTTGCATGCAGCTGCAGTGATTTAAGGTGTTACCCACAAATGTAACTTTCAGTTCCTCATTTGTTAATTTTAGTCTTTGCATGTATAAAGGATGTTTTCTAACTATAAAGATAAGAGATTTTAAAATTGCTTCCTTGTTTTCGAGAATTAAAGTCATGATCTTGAAAGGCTGTTACCCACATGACCATAAATGACAAGACATCTACATGAAAAGAACATTTTTGTTTAAAACAATGACATTTAGAGCAGTTTTTCAATTTAAAAAAAGTACAGTAATGGTATAAGAACATAATAATAAGATAAATACCATGACACTAAATTATTACCATATTGATGTGGCATGGCATTTACAATGATACTTCAAATATATAACCAAACATATGTGCAAAAATATGATATTGCTGTGGTCTTTTTTTAAAGCATTTTGTTGAATCTATCCCTATAAAAAGACATCAAAGTCTAATATGTCCTACCTGAAATATGCATATGTAAGAAACGTGATAAATTACATATAAAAAAAAAAAAAAAAAAAAAATGATATATTAAACTCCACGTACGTTCATGCGTCCCGTGCGTCCACACGCTCCTCCTTAGACTCCGCCCCCTCTTTCCTATTGGTTAGACACGAGACGTTCTGCTTCTGCTTTTAACAGGAGAGGGTCACGAGTGAAGCTGAAATCATTTATTATTTCGTGAGTGATTCGTAAAGATTTTCTGGGCAAGTAAGTACGATTTATGTTCAGATTATATGAACGCGTGTATTTCATCACATCAACGGCGTGAGTTGTGTCTACATTCTCGCTGTCTGTCGGTTTTCTTGCGTAAAGTCACCGTTCCTCTTTTTACCTCATCCGAAATATAAACAGCATAATCTCGTTCACGCTTATTCTTCTAGTAATCATACACATCTAAACTTATCTTGACAGTGTAATGAGTCTATTTAACTTCAAGTTTTGTGTAAAATGACCATGGTGTCCAACACTAACATAACTAAGTACCATGGTAATGTTGCTGTGGTTCTGCCCTTACAAAAAGTACTGATAGTAATACTGAGGTAAAAGTGTACTTTTTGGTACTTCTGTTTTTATTAGGACACTTTGATCATATCATGATATTAACTTTACTGTATAATAGTATCAGCACAGATTCAATATTCATATATCATGACATTAATATGATACTCTAAGGATATCATGAAAATGGCATCATGATAGTTTCCAAAACACCATGGTATTACCATGGCAACATGCCCAAAATCTTAGTAATGATAAATAATAATGTTAATAATTTTAAGTAATTGTCATATAGTTACCATCTCATCTCTGCCTGCCTCTGTTTCCCGGTGAAATGAAAAATCATGTACATTTATAAAGTCACATTACAGGGGAAAGGTCTGCACACCACACACACACTTAATGTAGTGTTTCCTGAAGTGGATGATTATTATGGATAATGAGTTGTTCAGGATAAAGTATACCTTTGTTCAAAAAAATTGCCTTTCATCATTGAAGTTACCTTTTGAAATTAGATTGTAGCTCGGCTTCATTTCCATTTAAATTGCCTCGGCTCATGTGACATCAGATGTGGAGCTGGATGCTAAACGCTCTGCGTTCCCATCATTGCAGGTCCAGCGTGTCACCTTTTCCAGGGATGGACAAGCTTGGACGTGGGATGTGTTCTCTGGTGGTGTTTGCCATCTGTTTTGTGTCTGTTCTCGGCCGTCCATCCTCCTTTCTCACCCATCTCCCGTTTTTTTCCACATGGAATGCGCCGACGGAGCGCTGCACGTCTCGATTTGGGGTCGAACTGGACTTGAGCGTCTTCGACATCGTGCACAACCATGACCAGGCCTTCATGGGTGACAACATCACTATCTTCTACTCGGTTAAGTTAGGTGAGTATCCTTACTATGGTATTGGTGGTGAACCAGTGTATGGAGGCGTTCCTCAAAACGCCAGCCTGGACCGGCACCTCTGGAAGGCCGACAACGACCTGAGGACTGACATCCCAGATCTGGGATTTCACGGGCTTGCTGTCATTGACTGGGAAAAGTGGAGGCCGCTCTGGGAACGTAACTGGGACGCTAAGGAAATCTACTGGAATGGCTCCAGGGCTTTAGTAAAAGCCAAACATTCTACTTGGAAGCCGGATCAGATAGAAAAGGAAGCCGTGAGGGAATTCGAGGATGCTTCACGGGCCTTTATGGCGGAGACGTTAAAACTGGGTCGTAGAGAGCGTCCTGGAGGGCTATGGGGGTTTTATGGCTTCCCCTGCTGCTATAATTATCAGTACAAGAAGAACGAGACGTATACAGGTGAGTGTCCTGCTCTGGAGATGAAGAGGAATGATAAACTGGTCTGGCTGTGGAACGTCAGCTCAGCCCTGTACCCTGATATCTATCTGGATCTCGGGCTCCGGGGCCGCGGTCAGGATATCTTGCTGTACAGCCGGCATCGGATCCTGGAGGCCATGAGGGTGAGGGAACAGACCACCCATCGGCCTCCATCTGTCTTCCCCTACGCCAGGATCGCCTACACCTACTCCATGGAGTTTCTCTCACAGGTCAGCACAAAGGCCTGTCCACTTTGTTCTCTTTATTGCTTGTTTTAAATCAGTTTAGTATCTGGTAGCCAAGGTTATCATAGTTAACTAAAGCTGAAACTGAAATTAACATTAAAACCATTAAAAAACATTTTTGTTCCTTGAAATAAAATAAAATGTAACTTTTAATTTCAGCTAGTTTCCAAGGCAACATTACTCACTTTAATTTAGTTTAACTTAATGTACTAAAATAACTAAATAGTAGTTATTTTAGTATATATATATATATATATATATATATATATATATATATACTAAAAACAAAATTAAAAACATAATATATATAGTATAAGAAAATATTAAAAAATATATACAAATAAAAACTGAATCAAAATATTATTAAAGGCTATAATAGTAAACCTCAATAATAATAATAAAAAATAACCTGACTAAGATCTATACATATTTTGATATTCAAGTGATTATTATCATGTTTATTGATTATGATCTGACTGGCAATAAAAAAGGCCCGTTCACATCAAGAACGATAACTATAACAATAACTATATTAGCACCCAAACAATATCATTCTGTTTATTAGAAGCACATGTGCAGTTTGGTCACATGCTGCTTTAAATGCTTACGCTTTTTAAACTCTGGATTCTGATTGGCTGTCAATGTTTTTATTGTTCATCAACTGGAAAAAAAAATGTTCCGAGAGAGATTCCAAAAATATCTATTAATCAAAATTAAAGAATTAGTAACAAAAATGGTTCATGTGTCACTCGTTTGTGTTTTCAGGAGGACTTGGTGCACACCATCGGTGAGAGCATCGCTCTAGGAGCTGCTGGTGTCGTGCTGTGGGGAGATGGAAACTACTCCCAAACGAAGGTTGGAGTGCTCTAGATTATTACACAAATGCACTCATATACATTTATATAATTTTAACTTCCATGTATAAAAAAAATGTACACATATACTTAATGGAACACTCCACTATTTTTGAAAATAGGCTAATTTTCCAACTCCCCTAGAGTTAAACAGTTGAGGTTTACCGTTTTCTAATATCGAAAACGGTAAAACTCAACTGTTTAACTCTAGGGGAGTTGGAAAATGAGCCTATTTTCAAAAAAAGGGGAGTGTTCCTTTAAACACAACAAATGCCCATGACCTCTCCTCTCCTCTGTGCAGAAGGCCTGTGTAGCGGTTCGGGACTACCTGGACAACACGCTTGGCCGCTACATTGTGAACGTGACGGAGGCGGCGTTTCTG